AACATATGCTCTGACTATCAACCGATATTAATATATAAAAATGCGCAGAAATGTATAAAATTCATTTGTATTGTTATTTAATAAAGCAAACAAGCACATACAATCTCAATTACTCCTGCGAAATGAAAAAACTTCGCATCTGGATGCACTCGAGAAATTTCAATGGATTTACGGTTGCGAATTTCTTTGCGAATATTATATGAATTGCTCGATGGCAGCGATGCTGTGGATGGCAGCCATTACAGATCCCGCTGTGTTCTCTTCATATCAATTCAAATGATGTCCTTGCACTTAAATTAAATTTGACTGAATCCGCTTTTTCACTGTGGCACTTAAACAACATTCCACATATCGATTTACTTTTATTTAAATTTTTTTACCTTTTTAAATAAACTTTTTCTACCGCAAATATTATTTGGTAATAAAAACAAAAATGCAATGTTAAAAAACCAGTAAAGGAAAAATATTTATGAAAGTATTTTTTACCATATTTACTTGTGGCGCAAATGATAAAAAAATATCTCTCCCGAACTGCACTCGAAAAACATTAATAAACTTTTTGCGTAGCGAGTACTTTTACTCGTCGAAATTGTGTGCATGAAATGCAGTGGCGAGTGCATAAAGCAAAGTTCATTTGAATTGCTGTGGACTCGAGTCCCGGTTGCAAATGTGAAGTAAAATAATCCTTCTCTAATGTAAGCCGTAATGTAAACCACTGTATTTTTCGCTGGGTAAGTGCCGACAGTTATTCTGAAGTACAGATGCAACTCCTCTGGGCATCCTCATATTAACTTAAATGCAGCACAGTTTTGAATCCGTTTTATCTTTTTGCACACAGACAATTATTTTTGTTTAAAAAATGCAAGTTAATGAACAAATATGCACAAAAAACCGAGTAATCTAAAATGATTTTAAATGAAATTTCATTTCGAGTACACCTTTTGCCAGCTTTTGTACATTTCCACTAAACTCGGGCTATTTTCACTTAACACATTTAAGGAAAACCAATTACCGTGAATACAAAAAAAAACATATATACAAAATTAACACTTATTTATCAATGGATAAAGGAAAAAATATTTTATTAAACAAAACTTTGTGCTTTTATTCATTTTTTCTTACAGCATTTTATAAATATTGTATAGCAAATATTAAAGCAGATACTTCATATCTACATATATTCAAATGAATATATTATAAAACGATCAATTTTTTAATACATACCTATGTATACGCCTAACCCTCGTATAGGTTTCGGCGATCGAAGTAACATTACCTATTAAAGCGACTATATCTTCTAGTGTGAAATCCATTCACTCTAGCTCGATGTGGACATAAAAATAAGTTGTATGCTTTACGAATGTGATCTTCCGTTATATTGGCCCATTCCTGAACAATTACTTTCTTCAGCGTATACATACTGCATACTAGCATATCGTTTAGTCCTCAGTTTGCTCTCCAAAATGGTGCAGATGGAATAGTTCATCGGATTTGCACCTGGCGAATTCGAAACCCATTGTGTAAACGAAATGAAATGTGGAACATGATTTTTTAACTATTCTTGACTTACAAGAAACGGTGCCGAGTTGGTGTATTGTTGGAAGCCCATGATCTACGATCGAAATGTTTGCGTGTCCACAGCTCTAAAGCAACTTCCAAAATATTTTCCCAAAAATAAATCGCGTTGACATTGACACACGGTTCGATGAAAACGATTGAAGAACGTCATAGCTGCCAATACCATTACTTGAGATGGAAAATTACTTCGGGTGGCCATTCGTAGAGTTAAATGACAGTGAACGGCAGTGCGTTCAGTTAAGTAAATACGATCATTTTGAGTAGTTAGAGTTCATGAACCGTTCAATTGGGAAATTTTTTTCATCAGAGAACACAATTTTTGGAAATTCGGCTTTTCTCTTTCAATTCTAACTTTTTGTTGTTTTGATGTATTATGTTGTATCTTTTGGAACCTATAAGACACAATCTTGTTTCCTTGAACTCATTTTGGAATATGGGTCGTATGCTTCACTGGGATATTTTCAGTTAATTGGTTATTTAATTACCACTACGACGTGGATTTTGTCGAGCTTTCACTTTCCGAACTATTTCAGGTGATACTGATGTTTTTATCGTCCACCCCCATAGTTTGGCGACGATGTCTGTACTATTATAACGATTTATAATACAATACGCAAACATTTTATTCACTTTAAGATGTTTGAGCTCATGAACAAAAGCTGGTTCGTTTAATATCAGTGATTAACTTAACAGCTCTCTCTGCTAGATCATTTAGAACTGTCAGGTTTTTATAAGGCCAGAAGAATAATCACCACTTTCACCACATGCTGATGGATCGTACTTTAAAAAATCAGAGTAAATTTCCAACCGAAGTAAAAATCAGTCTCCAGTTTCCCTGACGATGACTATGAAAGATAGTCAAAATATTGAAAAATATCTTAATAAAATAATTTGTTTTAAATATAAATAATAAGTTATAGTTTTTTTATTTTTATTTAAATTAACAATTGCTCTTTAGGTAAGTTAAGTTTAATATATAGGATTTTTACTGAAGCTGCTTGTCTCTTATAACGAATTGATTGAAATTAAAAATAGGTATATATATATATATATATAATTAGAGTATATGAAAATCCGTCTGTCCGTCCTTATGAGTTTGTTTATTGTATATATTTTATATAATATTTAAATCATAGTTTACGTTTAATATTAAAATTAAATGTACGATTGAAATATGAGTTTGCAATCAAAGATAGTCGAATATTCCAACTAAACACTAAATTTAAATCCAACTAATCACTAAATTTAAATGTATGTGCCGCATAATCAAATACGTACGACAGGTTCCCAGCTCATAAACAGGTTCCAAACTTAGACTTCTTAACTATAGTAATAATAATATATTCATATACTAATGGCATAGTATATTCAAGACAATATACCTATGTAGTTAAAAAAGATTAAAAATATTATATTCTATTAATGTTGATGTGTTAGCTATTATTTTAATAATAAATATTATATATGTTAATATTTTAGGTGTTAAGCAATAATTATTTAATACTATTTTCTCAAATCATATATTTTTGATAACAAAAACAATTTCTATTAATTTAAACAATGTTCAGTTTTCGCGAACGCAATCAGTCATTTTTTAGCCAAAACCAATATTCTTTTACTATAGCTTTCCGATGTGATCTGTAAAAACCGAGCTTAACTGCTTTTTATAATTTATATTCAAGGTAAAGTTTTATATCTGCAGAAAAATATTGCAGCAATCAGAACGATAATCATCTGACTGAACAACATCAGCACCAGATTTCCAACCCAGATCTTTAAATGACACCAACCGCTATCTTAAATAAATATATTACCTTCAATTTTAATCAATTCCGAGTACTTTTAAAATTTTTTACTTCTACCGTATTGAAATCTGGCAACAGATATTCGTTTCACTAGTTTAGTAGTGCAGAAGTGCCATTTAACAGCACATAATCTAAGAATCCCAGCAAACAAGATTTTACATTTCTCGCTGTGAGACTCGGTTGCACCATAGTTCGTCAAGTTGAACTCATTCTTGATTAATACTGCATCGGTTCGATATAAAATTATTACCAGACTTTGCAAAAGCCGAGGGACTTTCTTTAGTCTAAGGATTAGATTGATCTATTAGATTAGATCAGATTTTATCTATTTTTAAGGGCATCACCATGACTTCAATGTGTTTTATTTCACTTTTTTTTTAATCTGAAACAATTAGTACTATTTTCAACTCTTTCCAACAAATTATATTCGTTATATTATTTTAGATGAAGATGAAGAGGAAGTAAAATCTATTAACCACTTCCTATAACTCTGTCCAGAAGTGCAGACAAGGTGATTTCAATGTCTAGGAGATCATTTTTTTACTGGTTTGATAAAAATAACGAAACCAAACCTATCGGATCTGCAAAACCAAATGGTTTAACAAGGATAACAAAGGTTAGCAACTCGCCTCTCCCGGCATAATTTTTGAGGGCATCACAATAGGCAATATATGTCACCGAGTGGAAGTGCTGACAACTGTCAGCAAGCGCCTTCTGAATAACCCATATTATTTTAAAACTCAGATGGAATGACAGACATTTTCTTAAAAATTGACATTTATAAACATTGCGGGTAATTGCAAATTTTTTGTCTGAAGCACAAGATATGATTCGAATAAATAAAAAACATCAGTATAAAAAATATATTTAAATTTAATTAACTTTATTATGTTTTTTATTTTGGAATTTTAAAATAATCTAGCTTTGCTAGAGATTTGATGGAGTCACGTATCATTGCAACCATATCTACCTAACCATTTAACTAGAATGAAATACCTTAAGATATCTTATGATACAATGAGATATGAATTGTTACTAACATATATATCTCATATAATATATCTCACATATCTCTCACATATATCTCACAATAATGATGATATTGATTGCTTTTCCTTGTTGTGATTACCTTGGAATGAAAATAACTCAGCCGTGTTCAGTTCACAATTGACTTACTTTTATAAATAAAAACTGTTTTATTCATAACTAATTATTTTATAATTATTTGCTCATATTTAAAAATTTTACCTAAACTTTAGTAAATGTTTAAAATTTTACTTCACCTCGCCTTCCTCTGCATTGCTGTCAATCACAATTGGTGCTGATGAAACAATTAAAATGGTTAAAATACACGATTTCGAATTTTTCTATTTTTAACCCTTAATTACAGGCAAAGATAATTTAAATTGATAACCAAAAAATAAAAGCCACTTAACCACTACACACCCATGCGCCCCCGAAATCGCTTAATATCGAAATGGCAGTTAACAATGAGCATCGCTTTCGAAATGACAGTAAACAAACTCATTTCTGTGTAAAACAAATTAAATGAAACTGAACGCCGCAACACGGACGACGCTGCTACTGATGACATTCACGATTTTCGGAGGATTTAAAATGAGTACAATTTCGTGGGCGGCACTGGCCTGTTTGCCACGTGTAGGCATGTCATCGGGCAAACCGCTTTTCTGGTCATTTTTCGGCCAGAGCGGTGACACGGACGGTAGTAACGATGGTGATGGCACTGGTGCCAGAAGGAAGAACGGCTACGACAAGGAGACTGAGGAGCACGCACAATGGACAACAGTAAATGTCGCAATGTTGAATTGGAACACATAAACTAGTTTGTTGTTATACCATAGCTTATTTACCATTTAAGAGCGATTGGATTCAAAAGCATAAATACGAATTAGAAACGCACAATGTCAGTACCGTGGACGGGTATCATTTGACATTGCAGCGCATGCCGAGGCCAGGATGTCGTCCGGTGTTATTGGTGCACGGTTTGTTGACATCATCACTTAGTTGGGTAATAATGGGACCCGGCAAGAGCTTAGGTTAGTTAAGATTACCGCATATAGCATAGAACACATAGAGCACACATCACATAGCATAGACAATGCATAGCACATATACTATACATATGCGAGCATACATACCTATACATATGCAATTGAAAGGCGTGCCAACTGCACCTTCCATGCAATTCATTACGATTTGAATGGGTAATGACTGCTCATAATTTGCTTCCTTTTTGCATATAGCATTCCTGTTGTTTGAAAAGAGCTACGATGTTTGGTTAGCAAATCTACGTGGCAGCATTTATGGACGCAATCATACGCGTCTTACCGTTAAGGATGCCGATTTCTGGAGCTTCAGTTTTCATGAAATGGGCGCTTATGATTTGCCTGCCATTATTGACCATGTACGCAATGAGTCGTCATTTCATCAAGTGTTGCTAATTGGACACTCTCAGGTTTGATTAGAGTTCTCAAAACAAATCAAATAAACCAACATACTGACACTAACACACATACTAACACAATACCATGCTCACACGTACTCAAGTGACACACTCACAGCACTTTAAACACTTTTCAGGCTCTGAATGCATTTCTAGTGTTGTGTACTCTGCAACCGGAATACAATGAACGGATTTTATTTATGCAAGCCTTGGCCCCAATTTTGGAATTGCGAAACTTCACCAAATTTAATAATGACGATGTGAGGAGAATCTCAAAATTTCTAAAGGTAATCAAGAAAATCTGTTGCACCTGTTCGTATGTGTTATTGAATATGACATTTTCGTGATTTATTTTAAATTCTTTTGAAATAATGTTATTTCGTTTGAAATTGTATATAAATTAAGGCAAAAATAAAATCACAATCATATGAAGTATTTCCGGAAGGATATTTGCAACAGAAATGTGTGAAATCGAATGCAGATGCACGCAAAGAGTGTTCTGAGGTGCAAAAAAAATTTCTAGGAAGTGGACAATACAATAGAGTGAGTATATATTTGTAAATTTTCAGTCTGAAGGTTAGTTTCAAATAAAACAAAGTGTGATTACAATATTAGTACTTTGTACTGAGAGTGACCTCTTACCACATTAAATAGAAGCTATCCCTGTTTGTTCTTTTGAAATGAACAAATATCTTGTTGAACTTACTCTATGATTCAATCTTGACCTCTTGTTAAAAATATTGTAGTCTCGGAAATCGGAAGAAAGGCGCAGGTCTAATGCATCAGACAGGCACAGCATTACAGTGATGTTATGTTATACGATGAACTATTGGATCTATTGTGTCCCTTAGTCAGATTAGAGTGTTTTTCCAAATCCGATTTCTTAAATGAAAAACAGTATAAAGCCAATCTTTCCTAATCTTGGATTCTTATGATCAATGAAATACCCAGCAGCTTGATGCACAAGCGAAAGAAACACTCCCGGGCACTCCCCAAGCACATGGTATGCAGTGTCTGTCTTTTCTCTATCTGCAGTCTGAGTTGGATTAAGTTCTTTATTTCGACAGGTATCTAAATCTATGTAAGTTGTTCTTCTTAAAAGAGACACCGTGCATGTGAGGCTTCGTATTTTTATATTTTTTATTAGTCTTTCAGATTGGGTATACGAACAGTGTTAATTAATTTTAGTTGATTTTAATTAATTAAAATATGTAGCATTTTTAATTCTCAAGACTATAACTTCAACTTAAACATAACAAATTAAATAATTTTAGTTAATTAAAATACATAAGAAGTAAAATTCTATTCATTTTGTACATTTAGTCTCTGGAACCCATTATTTATGGCAAGCTTATACAAGGAGGTTCCTTAAAGGAAATACAACACCTACAGCAAATATGGAAGTCAGGAGATTTTGTTAGCTTTGACTACGGAGCTGAAGGAAATCTCAACTACTACAACACCGTCAACCCTATTATTTACGATTTGAAGAAATTAACAGTACCCCTTGTGCTGTACTTTGGGGACACCGATGCCTTCGCTACACCTGGCGGAGTACACCGGATCTACTCGCGCCTGCTAAGCACAGTAATTGGCGTTTATCATATCTCAGCGCAGAAATTTAATCATTTGGATTTTTTATGCGCAAGCGACGTGAAGAGTTTAGTGAACAATAAACTAATTGAGACAATGGAAAATTATTTGACAGCCAAGCTCAAGTACATAATTGAATAATTGAAAAAAGAAGACGAGATGGAAGGGAATAAATATAATTTGAAACAAAATGCTAAAGTGTTTAATTAAATTAAATTTAATTAAATTTGATGTCTTAAATACGCAAACAAGCTATTGATAATGTACCTCCATGTTTCGGGACCCAAAAACAAAAACGGTAGAAGAAAGCAGAAGACAGAGGGCAGAAGAAACGGTTGCATAATTTTTAACTCGGTCATTAAAAACTTTTACTTTCAATCCAACCGAACAAAAAAAAAGGTTGTTAAACTATTTCAGTAGCCCCAATTTTTATGAGCAATTTTTTTCCGCCTTTGCTTTGTTTGGTCAGAAACAAACAAAACTCGTCTTTTAACGCTCAACAACTTCATTTTTCTTTTCTTATTTGTCATTTTTCCTTCTTTCTCTTCTGTCTTCTGTTAAATTTTCGTTTTGTCTCGTTAATTGGGGTCACATTCATTTACATAAATTGTCTTAACCACCGCGGACGCTACTGCGGCCTCACAACGCGCTCTATGGCTGCTTTCTCAACAACTTATTGTCTTTACTTCTGTCAACCGTCCGCCTGTCAAACGTTTATTTTTTCTTTTTTTTTTTTACATATAATACATTTTCGTCATTTCTCTTCGCTAGGCTGTTTTGGGTTTACTTATTTGTTTTTGTTTTTAATTTAACACCTTTTTAGCTTTGATAACGTTTCTGAAGGCCCAACGCACAACAATGAATTATCTTTTATTCAACAATTACGGCAAGTGACGAAAGTACAAAACATTTTTCATTTCTTTTTTTAATGAAACAAATGCCTTCACTAATTGCTACAAAAAAGTTATAAGAAATAAACAACAACAATCAGATCCCCCAGGCCACCTAAGTTATGTCACACATCAAGAACTGGGTTAAGATAAAGTAAGCACTTCTTCGCCGGCGCTACAATTTATATAATTGGTCGTTTCGATGATATAGAAATGATAGTCATTACTTTGGTAACTGTAAACATGTACCGAATCCACAGTTTTTAACGTTCTTACCTTATGTTAAGGCTTAACTCAATAGTGCTCTTAACACACGTATAAGTATATTCCAAGAAATTCCGCCGATACCAATTCCAGCTGAAGATTTGAACATGGGTTCCTCATTGTTTGAAAACGAGAGCAATTCAATACATCTACTTACCCTGTACCCGGTTGGAAAATGCAACCCTAAATCAATTAAAAGTACATTAATGCAGTTGTTCTGTCGGTTTTAACCACAGCCACTATGATACTCCTATTAAAAAGGCTAACCTCTATTGGTCAGATAAGCTATTGTGGGTCCTCACCGTCGTGGTACCGAATTTACTCTATCGGTTGGATGATGGTCTTCTGTTTAGTTTGGGTCTGTTGCAGCACAAAAGATCAACAAAAGTCGCAGTGCTCTGCTCTGTTGGGAGCTGGTACTCTGTTCATTTCTATTTCTATGTAACACTATTTTATATATGTATCTATATGGTTGTGAATTCGGGGACAATCTTGCAAGAAATAGATAAACCATTGAAATTTTTAGCTGAAACCGTGTTGTGGTATAAGTTGGTTAGCAACTGAGTTTCTGACAAAGAAATTGTTTCTAAATCAGGGGCTTATTATGGAAAAAGTTAGTTCGCAACTAAGCCTTTGGTAGAAAAGTTGTTTGTAACTCTAGGTAACTGCTAGGCTAAATACCTGGATCGTGCGCTAAGCAATCGTAAGGTATCGGTCCGAAGTAATATAAGACTGAAGCTGTCTAAGCAGTCACCATAATCTTGCGTTGCCACTTTCATTAGATTGATCTGTCTGTAAAAAACAAAAAGTTGACTAAGCAGATAAAACCTTTAGTCATATTCTTTGTAAATATTTAGCTTTGATCTTGGCTAAATAGAGATTATTTATCTTACAATTCCTTTTTTGATCTGATATTAAGCAATCTGCAACATGAAATTTTTCTTTTATTAAGTTAGTTCACTAATCCGTTTTAAATATAACTATAATTTTTAATTTTTAAAGTCATTAACAATACGTTTGTTATGGTTACTTTATAAAAATGTAAATAGATAGTATCACAATAATTTTTTTAAAAAAATCCATTAAAATTATTAAACGTCATAAATAATTCTATCCGCATGGTCTCATATTTGGTAAAATAGTTTCTACTTATTTGGATTTCTACACTTTCGCACAGCCAAGTAATGTGTACAAATGACCATAATTATTGGAATAGCTGCACCAGCAATATCTTTTGAAGCCTTAATGACTTAACCAGGCAAGCTTAAATTACAAATTGGATTAGAAAGAAGAAAAGAAAACAAACAAAGTTTTTATTTATGCATAACAATAGCATAAGAGCCATGGCTTGTGCTTACGCATATTAAATGCTACGATCGTTTATTATATGAACTGATAATGACAACCTATTCACAAGAGACCTGTAATAACGAATGCCGATATGAGCTACACAACTCAATACAATATGTAGTCGGTACACATTGTTAGCACTACAATTTTTGTGAGAGAAATATATTATACTAGGTGTACCGGTATGAAATGAGCGTTTTTTGGTGAAAATAAAATACTAATTATTAATAGGAAAGTAAAAAACATTTTATTCAAAGTATTGGCCATTGCTTTCTACACATTTTGACCACCTTTTTGGCAATTTGTGGATACCACGACAAAAAAATTGTTCGTCTTTTAAAGCAATCCAACCAGACACCCAATTTTCGACCTCCTCGTAGGAATCAAAGTGCTGCTCAGCCAATGCGTGTCCCATCGATGAAAACAAATGGTAGTCGGAAGGAGCCAAGTCTGGTGAATACGGCGGCTACCAGCCAAGTGTTTTGATTGCATCCTGAACCCGTTTTGCTTTGTGTGCAGGTGCATTGTCATGGAGCAGAATTACCTTGCCGTGTCTTCTGGCACATTCTGGTCGTTTCTCGATCAATGCATGGTTCAAATTTATCATTTGTTGTTCATAGCGACCAGCATTGACGGTTTCACCAGGTTTTAGGAGCTCGTGGTACACCACACCTTTCTGGTCCCACCAAACACACAGCATTGTCTTCTTGCCGAATCGATCTGGTTTTGCAGTCGATGTTGATGGTTGTCCCGGATTAACCCATGATTTTTTCCGTTTAGGATTCTTAAAATAAATCCATTTTTCATCGCCAGTAACAATCCGATGCAAAACCGATTTTCTTTCGTGTCTTTGAAGCAAAATTTCACAAGTGTTTTTTCGGTTTTCCATCTGTCTTTCATTCAATTCATGTGGCACCCATTTTCCACACTTTTGGATCTTTCCCATAGCTTTTAAACGGTCAGAAATTGTTTGTTGTGCAACATTTAACATTTCTGCCATTTGCTTTTGACCCAAAGTGTCATCTCCATCCAATATCGTTTACAATTCGGCGTCTTCAAACTTTTTTGGCGGTCTTCCACGTTCTTCATTTCTCACATCAAAATCATTATTTCTGAACCGTTGAAACCATCTTTTGCATGTTGCTTCTGATAGAGCATGATCACCATATGCCTCGACAAGCATTCGATGTGACTCTGCACCACTTTTCTTCAAATGAAAACAAAAAATTAATGCTTTCCGCAAATCATCACTTTCTGGTACAAAATTCGACATTTTTAACACGATGAAAAAATATGATGTTGTCTGTTCAATAACTTGATGTATACTAAATATATTTCACTTAAACTACAATTAGTATTATTATCATAAAATACTATAATAATATGTTCAAAAATCTGACAATAGTATCAATATTTTTAATTCGGATTAAAAATTTAAAGAACGATGAAACCTCACTGGCTATAATAATATTGCTCACATCACTAGATTTTAAACTTAGTTCTGACTCAATACTTCCAATGTACGAATTGTTAACCTTTCGCCATATTATATTGTTTATATATTATATTGTTTATATTTATATTTTTATCATAAGATAAGTACCGCAGTGTGATGAGTATTAACCATTTCTAATTCACCATATGTAGAAACTCTCCAAGTATTTTTAAACAAACTTTTATATTACATTTTAACGCCAGTTATAATGGCGAGGACAGTTTTACTCAATAGAAACAACTGTATTTATTAGAGAGGTTTCGAACAATAATGAACTACAATAACAAATATTTTTAGTTATTTTTAATTAATTGAATTTTTTGACTGACTATATATCTGTTTCGTGTATTGCCAAATGTCCATCCATTGGTACTATCTAAATATTTGCAAATAATTTTTATTTGAGTTTGCAAGAACTAATGCTTTAGTCTTGTACCCTGCCAAGTTTGAAGTACAGAGTTAGTGTTGATTATCCAACTGACACAAATCCCACTTACAATGGGTAATACTCAAAACAACTATATGGTTAGCCAAAAGTACCACAGAATTTTATGATTGATTTAATCTTTGAAGAATTGTCTACAAACTTCTTTCAGTTAATTCCACACTGCTTCGGCACCCAATCACTCACGTATGTCATATAAGTACGTCAAGAGGAAAAAAGAGTGTGTCAGAAGAAAACTACCAAGAGTTTATAGCTTCAAATGCAACTTGATTACTTGCGAAAATATAATCATGGACGATTGCTTTAATTGCAGATCTTTTTAGTTACAAGGGCAGTATTGCAGATAATAGTTTTTAAGTTCATCTCAAGGAAAACTCTTGCATCCATAAAACACTGCCATTTATTTATGTTTCTAAGCCTTACGATCAGTAATAAAAATGTCGAATTTCCTACAGAAAGTACATGTGATGTGACGTAAGTTTGTTTATTCCTATTACAGATGACTTTGCCAAGAACCAGTCTACAGATAAAATATTTTCTACTAAAACTACCACACTTATTGATCAGAAACTGCCATCTGATTGAACTGAAATTTCGTAGCGTTATTACAAAGAGATGCAGAGATAAATTTCACTATGAAATACAATTGTGAGACAAGTACTTATAGCATCAATCATAGGCCATATTTGCAAATCTT